AACCCCCAAATCCCAAACCCCTCCCTGCCACAGCCCTTCCAACTCCTACCATTTCTTAAATAGATCTCTCTCTGAAATAAGTTTTTTTTTCTTTTCTCTTTTTTTTTTTTTTTTAAACACGTGTTTGGACACAAAATAAAGCTTTGGATTTACATGGAAGCTCTTTTCCATGCGACAGAGCCACTTTCCATCCCCACCTCGTGCTTCCCTACTGTCCTTGCCTTTCCAAAAAAAGGTCCTTGGCTATGAGGGATCCTCGGGGGAGAGCCCCACTTACGATGGGAAGATTGGAAAACATTAATATAATATCTCTCTTTTTTTTTTTGTCGTTGTTTGTTGGTTTTTTTTGTCGTTTTTTTTGTTTTTCCTTAAAAAAAAGGGAGAGAAACATCTTTTAAAGAGAAAAATCGGAGGAAAAGTACTAACTAGATTTTGTGACTTGTTGTTTCTTTTTTTTTTTTTTCTCAGGTGGCTGTTTTCATCGGTTGGGGTTGCTTTGTTTGTTTATATATATATATAGAATTTTTTTTTTTTTTTTTTGGTTTAGGAGAGTCCTTGCTCGTTACCCTCATCCGACCCTCCTGCTACATTCAATCCCGGCTCCTCGTTATTGGAATTCTCCTCAAAGTGCTGCTCCTGCTGCTGCTCCTGCTGCTGCTGCTGCTCCTGCTCGTTTCCCTGCGCCGTGTCCTCGCACTCGTGGCTCTCGGCTGCGAATCCTCCCCCGTCCTCGGCGCTTCCCGTGGGCGTGGGGGGCATCGCCCCGGCCTCCCTGACCCTGGGCTTCCTGCCCCTCCTCGAAGGGATCCCGTTGCATCCATCCTTTTTAAGGTGCCTGTGCAGGTGGTCGGAGCGGACGAAAGTCTTGCAGCAGCTGTCGCACTGGTACGGCCGCAGCCCCGTGTGCACCCGCATGTGGTTCTTCAAGTCGTAGTTGTGGGCGAAGGCGGCCCCGCACTGCTGGCACAGGTAGGGCTTCTCCCCCGTGTGCTTCCTCATGTGCACCTTCAGCTTGTCCTGCCTGCCGCAGAGCACACGGGGCACCGTCAGGGAACGGGGATTTGGGGCGGGGGGAGCGGGAATGGGGGTGGTGTGAGGGTGGGCATCGATGCAGGGAGGAGTATTGGGTGGAATAGGGCTGGGCAGTGCCTGCTGTGGGGCTGGGCAGTGCCTGCTGTGGGGCCGGTTATTGGGGTTAGGTATCAATGTAGGGCTGAAAAATCAGCTGGAATAGGGGTGGGCAGTGCCTGGTGTGGAGCTGGACACTGGCACAGGGCTGGACATTGGCACAGGGATAAGCAGTGCCTGGTGTGGGGCCGGTTATTGGGGTTAGGTATCAATGTAGGGCTTAAAAATCAGCTGGAATAGGGGTGGGCAGTGCCTGGTTTGGAGCTGGACACTGTTTTGGGGCTGGACACTGTTTTGGGGCTGGACACTGTTCTGGGGCTGGACACTGTTCTGGGGCTGGACACTGGCACAGGGATGGGCAGTGCCTGGTTTGGGGCTGGGCAGTGCCTGGTGTGGGGCTGACCATCACTTGGCACGAGGTCAAACATCACCCCATACAGGGCTGAGCATCACTGTGGGGTCACCCTTGTCCAGCACAGTGGTGTGGGGCTGAGCACTGCCCAGTACAGGGTGGGAGGGTGGGGTCCCACATTGCCCCATATGGGGTCTGG